ATTACATTGGATGCCTTTAAGATGGTGTCAGCACTGCCTACGACCTAACTCGTCCTGATCAAGCTGTAACGTCTGTTTGGCAAATGTCTTGCTTCAGCAGATGAGTGTCACAGTGACTCGAACAGCAGATCACTGTATACGGATAAAACTGCATCGAATAGGCTTAGGCGCCAGGAATTGCCAATGACGTTAATTACCCTATCTATATTATCTGCGTACGACAAAACGGCAGAAATTTGTAGGAACGATGTTCACGGTAGCCTTTCTTGTATCTTCAACTAAAGGGCCTCTATACGTTCTCACGGTAATGCTATGTTAATATATCATTAGCTATCACCAGTGTGTAAAATGGGACATTGCTCCGACAGAAAAGGGAACCGGTACAGCGTATTTAGGGTGGCGCTTCCTTTTAAGATAGCAACGCTAGATTAGGACACGTTTTGCTTATGGTAGGTAAATGACGTTTAAATCTGAATCTATCTATTCTTGACAGTGTGTTTAGGCTGAGTGATTGAGGTGTGTACTGATTGCTTTCTCGGGTCTGAGAGTTTGGCAAACGGTGCCCTAGAGGCAGAACAGGGGCTACGGTGTCCAATGTCAGGCGGTGTAAGAGGTCTATGTCTGCGGCCTTATATGGTGCGGCCCACGCGTAAACCGGCTGATGCCAAGTCATTCCTGGGTTGGGGTTGAACACGTAATGCTTTCCTCCATCCATTTCAATCCAAGTACGTAAGTCCTGGGCAACTGTTCCCTTCAGTCTGAATCATTTCACAGTCTGTGTATGATTGCTGAAAATTTATTGCACAAGACGACTTCGGAGAAAAAAAACACGAGTTCAGCCTTCCCCTGAAAGTTTTGTGATTACAGTCGTTGTAGAGTTAGAAAGATGGAGGGTAGTACCTAGAAACGAACTCAAGAATCAAGCAAATTCTCTGAATTCACCGGTGGACGTAAGAGCTTCTTGTACCATTGGCTGCCCCCAAATCACAACATCTGACCCCTGCAACAGTTGGCGTCGACTTTCTCTCTCAGTAAGTCGCCCATCGTTAAAGTATTTGTGAGGACACAAACAAACGATCTGAAAGTGGGCTTCCCGATTGATAACCTCGTTCAAACGAACCAATCTGCTGCCCGGGCACGCGGAGAGTGAGAGACAGGCCGTCAGGGTGCTGATAAAGGTTATATAAGGGTCTGGCAATCGTTGGCAGACAGCGTACAGGATCGGTTACTTCGCCTTGTGATTGAAAATAGCTGCTTCATGCAGTCGGCTAATGAGGACATTCACTGGTAAGATTTGATTATGGCGCCGTGTCAGGCTCGAAATTGCAGCCTGATGGTAACGACGGTTCGGTTTTGAATCCAACTGTCGGCACAGACGCCTTGCCTCGCGCGCCAGATGCCCTGGCAGAAGGCCGCCCTTGGAAACGTGTCAAGTCGGCGCGTCTGGACACGGCTGACCTTGGCGAACCACGTGAACTTTGGGGCTATAATTGCTGACACGTTTCTGGATTCTGTCCAACAGCGACGATTTGGCGAGGCCTGATTCCTGTTTAGTATCCATATATCCGATGCTTTCTATGAGATGTTTTCATCTTATGGCAGAGTAGAGACTCTGATCTGGTGGAACTGGCGATTTTCTACCAGTAAAGATCCCGATCGGAGTGTTTGTCGACATAGACACCTATCAGGATTATGTTAAAGGCATCCAGCGCAGTTTTTAGGGCTTGGAAACCCGATTTTTCAAAGTCAATATTCTAGTCACTTATCTACATACTGGGTAACCACACTATCCAAAATGTATATTGACCCTCATGGAGCAAAAATACCGAAAATTCTGACGGAAAATGCTTACTGGAAGGGCCCTGGGCTGATTTTAGGGTACTTCCATAAGATAAAGGACTCATCTTGGGGCATTGGATGCCTTTAATGTGTTATGGTGGTTTCCCATTGACGAATTCTTGATTTCAAACCAATCCATTGATCTAAAGTGACAAGAATCAAAGTTGAAAATTCTGGCTGTTTTTTAAGCGAATACATCAAAATTTACCGTGATCCAATTGGGATCTCTTCCGGTAGAATCGCGGATTGTACCGGTAGAGATCCTGATTTTCTGTTGACAGAGAATCCCACATTGCGATCTCTACCGGTATAGAATCGCCGACCCCACCAGATCGGAGTCTCTACCCTGACTTTGACTTGACTTTATTAGGATCCCGAGTATAGTATTTAGCGTACAAACTGTAGCTATTCTTCCTGTGGTCCATTCTGACATGTACACACATACATACGACACACGGAATATGTCAAACATAAAATAACAGTAGCAAAAATAGTAAAATACTACCCTGACATATATAGTTATAAAGAAACGGGTCATTGACCGCTGGTACCCTCCAATTGCAATTTGATTTATTCCATGCATGATCGCAGTGCACACACAACTCACCTACGTACACGTATAAGACCTTACCACTTGATGTACATTGCAATCCACTGTCCCGAGTAAAATGAAGGAATGAATGCATACCTTATATTCAGGGGGGAGGCAGGAGTGAGTGAGTGGTGTTATTACTGGCAAGTGCAATATTAGTTTTCCAAGGTTTGGCAGATAGACCAAGGCTATGCTTCTCGTCCTAACAGTTTGTGACAGTGACATACTCCGTACTGGGCTAGCCTATGTTCCGTAGATAGAACTTCATCGTTTTCAGTTCTTGTTGGGATGGTCTCAAGAGTCAAACAAATTAAAAGAGGACCTCCCACCACGAAGCGTTAGCCTGGTGTACACGTCTGATGAAAGATCTTGACATGTAGGTATTGATGTCAGTGAATAAATGGCTGGCTCGGCTGGAAGGGCGGCGCCAAACATGGCAAGGTCTAGTGCTTCCCTTTGCCGCGGACTTGCTGACTCTCTACCTCGGACAGTCCGTCTTGTGTATGTTCGTACAAGATGCCAGAGGAGACATTTTTTGTAGCGTTAATCTGAATCTTGCAGGTCCGTGACTCATGGCGTCGTCACCCCGGGCTCCCACAGTTGGGGGCGGTGGGGGCTTGGCTGTAGTCTCCACCAGACTCCTTTTGCAGGGTGAATAAATCGTAGAAATCGGTCTGAAAGGGGATATAATTGGCCAGAGAAGTTTCCCGGCCATCGATGGTCCAATTGGCCTGCACGGGAAACTCCTCTGGCCAATTATATCCCCTTTTTAAGACGATTTCTACAATTTATTCAGCCTGCAAAAGGAGTCTGGTGGAGACTAGCTTGGGAGGACTGGTCTGCTTTTCGGGCGCTTGTTTTGCACCGTACACTCCAGATGAGTCTTCCGGGCGATAGGGATAGAATCCCCGCTTACTTCACTACATCGAACATCTAAATGCTCAGATCAATTCGGCTTCAAGAAGAGCCAACATGATTTAGGAAAACCTGATATTAGCAGACTACGCATGTACTATTGCTACAGCTCAATATAATGATGAAGAAGAGATCTGAAGAATATCACACCACACTAGCGGAACTTATGGCCTTTTTATCACGGTGACACCATGTCAGGAGTTTATCTGTGCGTGTCGAAGCCTTCTCAGGCGTTTTTGTGACGCGCACCGCTTTTGAGCTCATTCGCTAGCCTCCGTAGCAGGCTTATAGAACTGGGGGTTTGGTGGTCTTCGGCTGTTTTCTGATTAGCCCAGTTCTAAAAACGGGGGTAATTCAACCAGACCGGCTATGTTGTCTATATGCAATCAGAAAATAGCACATAAAAGCTCCCAAAGACCCTGAAAACCCCCAAACCCCCAGTTTTGGGCATGCTATGGAGGCTACTCATTCGGCTTTGAGGTGGAAATGCCACAAATTGAATTCTTGCCTTGTTGCGAACTAGTACTTCATGAAGCATACACCAGGCGAATAAAGCGTATAGCAACTACATACTACCGTTTTTACCGCCGTCCCTCTATCAGGACCATCAAGAGTAATATAATTCAGCATATCTCTGAGTTTAAGGACCTTACATAACACTCTTACGTCGGAGAGAGAACTCGAACCAGCTTGTTACAAGCTTGATAAGTATCAACTGAAAATCGCTGATGCTTCTTCAGAGCCGGTTGAAGTGTGTCATTGCTGCTGAGTATGATGGTTGTTATCTCCGTGAAAGGGTCTCAGCTGGTCTATAATGTCTCCTACAGTTGAAGCAGAGAGATGATGGGTTGTTCGTGGAGGGGCACTATCTTCACTTACGTAAACGTCAGAGAAAACGTAGAAATGCCTTTCGGCGGGGATCTGCAAATGTCATTACTTTATCCTCAGTAATTGGAGTCATCAGGAAGCAATGCCAAGTGCAATGCCGGATTGTAACATTGTTGTTTATTGCTGTACATGTACATATATATTGAGCATGTACATGTACAGATTGAAGCTCTACTGGATTGTAACGTTGTTGATTATTGCTGTACATGTACATATTGAACATGTACATGTACATATTGCACCTGTACCGGATTGTAACATTGTTGTTTATTGCTGTGACGTTACGTCGTACATGTACGGGGTGTACATATTGAGCATGTACATGTACATGTACATATTGAAGCTGTGCCGAATTGTAACGTTGTTGTTTATTGCTGTACATGTTCAAAATGTGCTGTACATGTACATGTACATTTTGAACATGTACATGTACATATTGAAACTGTGCCGAATTGTAACGTTGTTGTTTATTGCTGTATATGTTCAAAATGTGCTGTACATGTACATTTTGAACATGTACATGTACATATTGAAGCTGTGCCGAATTGTAACGTTGTTGTTTATTGCTGTACATGTTCAAAATGTGCTGTACATGTACATTTTGAACATGTACATGTACATATTGAAACTGTGCCGAATTGTAACGTTGTTGTTTATTGCTGTACATGTACATATTGACAACAACATGTACATGTAGTAGTACAGTACAACGACAACAACATTGAAACTGTGCCGGATTGTAACGTTGTTCTGTCTTGTTCTCTAGGCACGTATCAAGGCCAATGGGTGGCCGGCATGCGGCAGGGGTACGGCATCAGGAGCAGCGTGCCGTACGGCATGGCGTCCGTCATCAACTCTCCCGTGCGCACCTCGCTGGCCTCGCTGCGGAGTGACCAGGAGAGCAGTGTGGGGGAGGGGGCCCACGAGGCCACCCCCAGCCAAACCAATCTCCAGGTTTCCGGCGCAAGAGGCGGCTTCGTTCTAAACATCTTCGACGAGCCTCCGCCAAAGAAAAAGCAAGCCTTCCTTAAGCGCACCAGCAGCATCAGAAAGTCTTTCCTTTCGGGGTTAAGGATTCGCAAGAAAGGCAGTGGAAGTAGTCAAGCTAGTCAAACGTCTTACCGCAGTAGTGAATACAGTGACATAGATGTAGAATCAACAACACCTTCTAGTATTAGCGGGGTGGAGTCCACGGGCACCACGTCAGAGTACGAAATGCCGCACATGGTGGCAGAGGAAATAGACGCTAACACAACAGAAACTTACATGGGAGAGTGGAAGAATGACAAGCGGAGTGGGTTTGGTATCAGCCAGAGATCGGACGGACTTAGATACGAGGGTGAGTGGCTGAACAACAGAAAGCACGGATATGGATGCACCACGTATCCCAATGGAGCCAAAGAGGAAGGCAAATACAAGCACAACTACCTAGTGCATTCAGGGAAGAAGAAGAACCTGTTCTCGGTGCGTTACGCCAAGATAAAGGAAAGAGTGGACCAGGCTGTTGAAGCTGCTCTAAAAGCTGCAGAGGTCGCCAGACAGAAGGCAGACATTGCAGTTTCAAGGTAAGTCGCCGTGATGAGGACAAAATACATGTAGAACTTGCCATAACGCCCTAGGGTTCTAGGATACGGAGACGGCGGGCGGTATAGACTTCATGGCTGTCTGGCCAGTTGCTCACGTGATGCGTCCGTAAGATCACGTGACCTATGTGACTCACTGGTCACGTGAATTCTGAGGAAGACCTCAGTAGGACTGTCGAGAAGTTTTTACTCTGTACTACGTTAACCCATCACAGAATAAATTTCATGCTAAACTAGGATATTGTATTGGTCAAGAGTACTCGCGAACAGATACTTTGACCACTAATAACGACTCTTACCGGTCCATAAATGTTATTAGTTTACCTTTAAAGCATTCTTCACTGCCAGGAAACTGACTACTTCCTTATCCGCACTACGTCAACACTAATCGAAAGTTACCTTATTCGGGTTCTCCCCTACTTACAGTCCAACCAAACCTTACGTAACCGAAACTTACGATAACTACTACCACATAACGTTCATCCCCATAAGCAACCGGGTTGGTGATGGGGAAAAAACAACAGAAGTGTTCATTTGGAGAATACTAATGCAAGGCATAAATTTTGTTCTATGGGTACGGTAGTTTGTGCTCAAGATAACTTTATACACGTACAGCTGAGACGAAATCATTAGGCCATTTCGCTGGCCCCTCGTTGATATACAACTAACGGCAACTTGACGGCCGAAACATTGACTTCATAGTCAATAGCATGCCCGCTTTCCCATTTCGCTGGCAAATTGTATAATTTGTCGTTCATTGGCCCCCATCGAAGGGCAAAATGACATGTAATAAGTTCATTCAAGAGACAGCGAGCCGTGAAACTTGGAGGCCGCGGTAAGGGGTTGTGTCATCAGTCCACCCGGGCACGCACACTTCGTACTCAGGCTACGTACGAGGCACCTACAGTCGTTCTTTTTTCCGCGACGATCGTGAAAGGGACTAATTAATAATAATATGTTTACCGAAGGAAAACATATTGTTTTTGCTACGTTTCCTCTTCTTCTGTTCCAAACACTGACCTCTGGCCTGGCCAATGACCTGATTTGTTGACGTCTCTCACCATGGTAACTGGTGTTGGGTTACATAATGTTGCAATTTCATAGTAGGAGGGATTTATACTTCTGTCTGAATATATATATATGAATGCATTTGAGTAAGAATGAACAGAGAAGACCGAAGGTAAACATTATGCATTTGCTTTGCAAATGTTATCTTTCTAGTTTTAACCTGCTGTACTTATTGTTCTGAAATGTACGACGTACGGCACGATTGTCGTGGGGAAAAACCTTTCGTCGTAGATGCACCGTGCGATGTATATGACTGGCGTCAGCCGCCGCCATGATTGACATATCCCTGCTAGCAGCGCCACAGTTGCCTGACGGAGACGGGAAGCTATGAAGGGGGCTTACACATGTGGGCATGTGCGTCTTTCAGCCAGCGTGAGAACGTCAGAACGGCTGCGATGACATAAATAAAGGCTTATATGGCCGCCCCGTAATCGCTGCGCTGGGCACTGCTGTGTCTTGTGAGATTCCCGGCGAGCCGCCCTGACTGATTACACCTTGTTTGGGAAGAATGGATGAGCGGCGGTGCCGACTCGCGCTATTGGACAGACGGAGACGTCACCGCGTCCGAGGCTTCATCTCGGAGTCCTGCGTACCGCGCCGCGGGGGAGAACGTTACTGTATTTGTAAGGCCATGTTGATTTGATTATATGGATGACATCCACGCACGCATGAATTTTCGGCCGTTTCCAAAAGAAAAAAAGTTTTCAACCACATTGTCATTGTAAATCGAACAAAACAGTTACAAAATGAGCAAATATATACCGTAGTAACTTGCAAAAAAACGATACCAATGTCGTAGAATGCCAAAATCAAACGAAAAAGACGAAAATGTAAAGAAATGAATTTGAAGACTAGATTATTCGCTTACCATACTGTGTATCATTTGTATAACCTTCATGACCACGTAGATTTCATATATAATGGAAGCAACTTTTTGTTGCCAAACGTTTTTTTTATTCGCACGCGCGCATCAGTTTTGGGGTCCCCAGAGGATGTCATCCATATAATCAAATCAACATGGCCTAACGAGTCAAAGCCTGCAGGACTAACCTCAAAGTCTGTCCCAATGTTCAACGACGTTGGCACACAGGTCACAACACCCCATATAAGAAAATAAGCATTGCCCTAGGCGCTTTCTTTTCATTTTGATTCCGTAATGTTCCCCTGGCCAAGATTGTAGCATACAGGAATCTCATCAAAAAGCCTTGTTAATCATGGGCCTAATTAGAAAAAGAAAAGGCGTCAGCTAATTTGCCCCCCCCCCCCAAAAAAAAACTCACCAAAATCAAGTCGTGGTGCTGCTGAAACAATCCATTATACAACTAAACATGGAATTTCCAATCCATTAGTCAGTATTTCTTGTTTTCAACGCCATGTGATGCATAAAAAATTCAAACCGATGACTGAATTTTCCAGGCATCCTAACGATTTTCGTCAGATGTCACATCGAGTTATGCAAGAATAGTCGAGTCAGGTCATGATGGCGGTAACTACTAGTACTAAACATGGACAGACTAGACCAGCTCTAGCGTACCGCTTTCCTTCCTGAGCCCACACGGGGGGCAGCTGAAGCCGCTCGGCGAATTCCAAACGCGCGCCTGGGAGTACGTACAGTTATACAAGGCAGGCATCACTGTGGGACCCCGTAAATCAGTTATGTAACAGCCGCGTTCATTGTCACGCCTTCCCCTTAACACGAGCTCGATTGCTCGTCGGCCATGATTTTGCACGGATTCTAAACATCACAATCGAACAACGTGGGTTAACGAAGGGCCTCGCCCAAACACGCTTTAGGAAATCACGTTATGTTCCTAAGGCCACAGCCAGTAAATTGTATGGATGACATCATTCGTAGGCTCCAAATCTAATGCGAGCCGGCAAAAAAAAAACAAGGCGGGCCGAAAAAAAAACAAGGTTCCTACATTTTAAAATTTTGACTCAATCATTGACATTGTGCAAATGGTTTTGATTCAGTGGGAACATCACTTATACACAGCCAGCATCACTGCATCAAAGTGACAAAGCATTAAATCATAGCCTTTTCTTGTCTCCTGTCTTCATAGTTAGCTCTGTCATCCACGTTCCAGCATGGCAACGGACATATTTGCCCATTTTCGGCATGGTGACCACTGTCAGAAGGCAACAAAATTTCTTCTTTTTTTTCTCTCCAAAAATCAGGCGAAAATTAGTGCGCGCGCTCATGCCATCCATAAAAATGAGTTGCTGTGGCCTAACGTGATGAAGACATGTCGTCTGTAACGAATCCCTTCACGGCCTGCCATGCGGCGTCTGTTCATGGGGCTGTCCCTGATTCGTTCTGCAGGAATTCAGTCCAAGGCAACTGGATCGGTGGGACATTCGTCGTTCAATAGCGGGTGCCAAGTTTTCGATTTTTGTTCAAACCACGGGAATACTTAGCCTCCATAGCATGCCAAAAACTGGGGGGTTTGGGGGGCTTCAAGGTCTTTGGGATCTTTTATGTGCTATTTGGTTGAATTACCCCCCGTTTTTAGAACTGGGCTAATCAGAAAACAGCCGAAGACCACCAAACCCCCAGTTCTATAAGCCTGCTACGGAGGCTAGGGAATACTGCATATTTACACGACATCAACGTCTGAAGTACTATTAGCAGGTGTACGAAAATTCTACAAATTAATCTTTCGTCCTACAAGTTTATGTGCCATTTTTTAAAAAAAACATTCTAATCGTAATAAGGCTTGTTGAGACATTCGTCGTTCAATAGCGGGTAGCCAAATGTTCGATTTTTGTCCAAACCATGGGAATACTGCATATTTACACGACATCGGCGTCTGAAGTCCTATTAGCAGGTGTACGAAAATTCTACTAATTAATTTTTCGTCCTTCAAGTTTATGTTCAATTTTTTAAAAACATTTTAATCACGATAAGGCTTGTTGAGAAGTGAGAAGACATCTTGTGAGCAATATATAGCGGGTGCCAAAATGTTCGATTTTTGTTCAAACCACGGGAATACTGCATATATACACGACATCAAGTACTATTGGCAGGTGTACGAAAATTCTACAAGTTTATTTTTCGTCCTTCAAGTTTATTAGCAATCAAAAAACATTTTAATCGCGACAAGGCTTGTTGAGAAGTGAGAAGGCATCTTGCATTTTTTGAGCAATTTTGTTGAATGCCGGCGCGCCTTCCTGGACAACTCAGTTGAAGGTTTCCCCAAAGCGATTGCAGCTAATAAAGCAATTGTTTCATTTATGAGATATAGCCGTTTTGACAACTTCATAAACCTGACAACATGAGATACAACATCTAGCAGTAACGTTACCCCACGGGAGGAAAAGGTAACGCGATACGACGCTTCCATAGAATCCACGTGACGGTGAAGCAAAAGAGTAAGGCCATGTTGATTTGATTATATGGATGACATCCACGCGCGCATGAATTTTCGGCCGTTTCCAAAAACAAAAAGTTTTCAACCGTACTGTAAATCGTACAAAACAGTTGCAAAATATGCAAATACATACCGTAAGTTGCAAAAAGAATATTTCAAAACGATACCAACGTTGTAGAATGCCAAAATCAAACGAAAAAGACGAAAATGTAAAGAAATTAATTTGAAGAGTAGATTATTCGCCATACCATACTCTGTCCCATTTGTTCAACCTTCATGACCACGTAGATTTCTTAATGGAAGCAACTTCTTTTGGCCAAACTTTTTTATTCGCAGTTTTGGGATTCCCGGAGGATGTCATCTATATAATCAAATCAACATAAGCGTTCCGAATGAAATCCAATGAAACGTAATCTGCGTTTGCTTGGACAGAAAGAAGTAACTAGTTTTCTTTCAATTGTAAATTGTAAAAATAAGAGCGAAACCGAAAATTGATTGGAAAGCATGAATGAGTCATTATGAGTCATACCTAAAACCTGGAAA